GAAAAATGCAAAGTTCTCCAAAGTAAAAACTAAGTATATAAAACACTTATTTAATGTATTTTGATGTCAAAACAAGCTTTGTAAGTTGAAAACCACGTCGTTAAGGTAAAAACCACGGTTGACCAAGTCAACACCGTACACGGGTGGTTTTCACCAAAAGACAAAACCGAAAGGTGGTTTTCATGATGTTTTGATTGGAGAACCATTTAAATGCATTCAAAAAAATTCCCACACAAAAAGACTTGAAAACCACTTTATTTAAGTAAAAACCACGGCTAGCCAAGTTTATGCCGTTTCGCGTGGTTTTTATCAAACGAAAAAAAACGAAAGGTGGTTTTTGAAGTGTTTTTTATGAAAAACTATTTAAATGTGCCCAGAAGTAAAAACCAGTAATAAAAAGTTGAAAACCACTTGGTTGGTTCGGACGCCAAAAACCAACACCGAAAACCGAATGCCGAATGCCGGTTTCTGAAACCCGAACGACAAAAAACGAAAGTTTATGCCGTTTCGCGTGGTTTTTATCAAACGACAAAAAACGAAAGGTGGTTTTTGAAGTGTTTTTGATGAAAAACTATTTAAATGTGCCAAGAAGTAAAAACCAGTAATAAAAAGTTGAAAACCACTTGGTTGGTTCGGACGCCAAAAACCAACACCGAAAACCGAATGCCGAATGCCGGTTTCTGAAACCCGAACGCCGGATGGCTTGGTTTTTGGTTTGGGCGAACACCAAGTGTTTTTAATGTTTTAAACATCTTTGAAAAACATATTTATGATGTGTGAAATGCAATGAAAAGAATTTTAGCCTAAAGAGCCAAGGTGTAAAGATTGGGTCGGTCTTGATCACAATAAAGACCGACTCAACGAAGCTAAGACTAAGGTCTTTGTTTAGCTCTTGTTCTCTTTCTTCTCATCTTTGGTTCTCGCCTTGTATATTCAATGACTTGTCTCGTTCACGGCGGTTTGGCATTATCAAAACCTGTCATAAAAACGAACACGGCTTTAGTACGAAGACACGATAAACCCGTGTTTCAACAATCTCAAGCGAAGAAAGGCAAGTCAGTGCATACTCAGCTAGTGCCGACTCATTCGGTTGCCTCAAGCAGCAAAACCCGACTTACGAAGATTCCCCCGTGCCCTACATGTGGGAGATCGCATCGTGGTGAGTGCTGGCTCACCCAAGGACTATGCTTAGGCTGCAGAGAGGATGGACACTTTCGTAAGAACTGTCCTACGAACCCAGGAGAGCCGTTTTCACCAGCGTCGGTGCGTAACCAAACCACTACGCAGCAACCGGCACAGAGCCAACGTACGACCGCAGGGTCAAACCAGCCAAGGAATCAGAATCAGCAAGTGGGGAGGGCTCCAGCCCGCACATACGCTATGATAGGACGCGCAGACCCCCAGAATAACGACGCTTACGATGGTACACTTCGAAACTCATCTTGATAACGATTAGTTAAATGCTATGTGTTCCCTATGTGCTTATGTGTGTGAACTATATGTGCATATGTTTTGAGTAGACCTTGGACTAAGGAATTTCGAGGACGAAATTCTTTTAAGGGGGAGAGAAATGTAACAACCCAAAACCCGTCTTAGTAGTTAGCTGTTATTTTAATAAAAATAAATATATTATTTATTTACTCTAAAATATGAATTATTAGTAAAGTTATCCGTTTTAAATAAAAATTGGGTTTTCGGATAGATCACGAGAAATGGTGACCAACGGTATATAATTTCTTTAATTTGGATTTATGTGTAAAGCGTGGTGAGTAAAAGAGACATTACAGTTCAATAATTAAATATAAAGATTTATAATAATATAATAATAATAATAATAATATAAAAGAAAGGTACGCACGGTAATACTCCTAGTTGTATTTGGACTTGGCCAAAACCTAAGCTGCGTCTCCATATATAATTACATCAATACAGAGTCATTGGTTTCTTCCGCGTGAGAGACAAAGTCAGTACCTGCAATCAGAAAAGAGAGCCGATCCCTGCTGCTGTGGTTGCTGGAGAGGGAGAGGTTGACCGCCGATTCGCCGCTGCTCCGCCGTTTGCTGAAGGAGCTGACTGCCGCCACAAGCCGGACGCCGCTGGGTTGCCGCCGGCTCATAGCCGAAGTTGCCCTGCAGACCAAGACTCCTCCACCGTTTGATTCGCTGACTTGTTTCATTTAATTTGTCAATTAATCGAGGTCAGAACTTACGTGGTTTATTTGTTTATAATTGAATTATGATTTATTCATATTTTATGATGATATTGGAATTGATTGAACGAGAAAGACGAGGTACGTATTTTTACTCTAAATTGTGTGAATTGCAAGATTATAATCTTTAAAAATGTTTATGTATCAAACAAGTTGGTATAGGACAGAATCTGTTGAATCTGTACACACCTGCTGCCGGACGGTAGCAGGTACCGTCCAAACGGTACCCAGCTACCGCGCCTCCGGTTCACTGCTGCTGCCGCTACATGTATGAGACGGTCGGACGGTACCGTACTAACGGTACCCAGGTACCGCCTGGCGGTACCGAGGTACCGTGACGGGTACCGTAGCGGCAGTTGCAGTTCTGTTATTTAATTGTTTGACCCGATTTGGATTCTGAATTGACTTTGAGCCTTTATGTGTTGCATGACGGTAAATGTAAGGTGTTTACACCCGACATTAGGCCGCTATTTGGATTGCGTGATGACTTATTTGGTTAATTCTGTTCTCTTGATTTGTTGTAAATGTGGTGTGATATGCCTTTAACGAATAAAGTAAATTGAGGTGGCTGTTAGCGTGGATCTGTATAATTGAAGTAAGTTAATGAGATAGGTTACCTAGATGAACTCTAGGACTACTTTGTGAGAATTAAGATTGTAAGTTGACAATAGGTGTAGAGCCTTGTGGACGTAGTCCAGTGGCATCCAGGTAAAGATGTACGTACATGCTGGAATCTGGGATCTGATCCGTAGGATTGGAGATTCCACCCAACCGGCGCCGTAGGTACCGGGTTGACCAGAATCATGGCCATAGGTAGTGGTTCTGATGTCATAGAATAGACCTTGAGTCATGGCCGTAGGTAGTGGCTCTAAGTCCTAAGATAAGAATGTGGATAATGAGTGATTGGCCTTAGCCTAGAATAGGTTATGAGCTAGTGTTGAATATGAGTTAATGTAATGACTTGAATATTGGGATAGTGACATTTGCAGGTGCAGGGTAAGTAACATATTAAGTGAATTGTTGGTATTGTTATGTGATATTATTATGTTGTACTTATGTGCATGATATTGTATGGAATTATGAGCTAGTGGGTTCGTCTATGTGCGTAGTCGAACGTTAGATAGATTCCACTCAGCTTCAATGCTGAGCGTGTAGCCCTTTTTCCTATTTGCTACACGTAGGTAACAGGAACGATGAATAATGAGACGATCTTGGAGGCAGCGAGGGCGAAGAGATGGATGGATGCTAGCTGGAGGAGTTTATTATTTAATATTTAAGTTTGAATTATTATATTTTTAAGGGCAAGAACCCAAAGTTGTATTATGATTAAGTACTTAAGGCTTCCGCACCGTTTTTATTTACTCTGATGAATATTTAAATATTGTTTTGAATTAAATGTTTTAAATTGTTTTGGAAAATTAATGCGTATGACTGCCAATTTAGTAGCAACCCGATCCGCTGGTCCTTGTATTCGGGTCACGCGGGTTGGGGTGTTACTATATATATATATATATATATATATATATATATATATATATATACACACACACACACACACACATATATATATACATATATATACATATATATACATATATATATATATATATATATATATATTAAATGAAAATTTTATCATTATTTAATACGGAAGAAAACCGAAGATACATCAATTATTAGAGCCCCCCTGATATTTTTGGGTAGATGCTCTAATTGAGAATAATAAGTGCTGAAATCGTTATTAAGTGTAAACTTTGCTAGGTTGTGTGCCGCAGTGTTTGCTTCTCGATAAATGTGACTTATTTTCCCCCCTGATTTCTGTATTGTTTCCATGATTTCTTTGTGGGAGGAGTTGGATGATTCTTTAATTTTTCTCACCCCATTCTTTGAGTCCATGTAGAGATTAATAGGTTGACCAAGAAATTTGCTGCGTTTGACTCTTAGCGCTGCTGCCTTTACCTCACCTTCTTCTGGGTCTGTTTCACCCTGCGAAATTTTTGTCCATGCTCCAATGAAATTTCCGTTTCTCTGCCGGATGATCGCTGCTGCTGCCATACGATCATGGGAAATTGCAACATCAGTGGTGACGCAGAGTCCTTGCTTTGGGAAAATCCATCTGAAGGTCTGTATTGCTCCCATCTTTGTGACTGGTAGATGGCTAGTGATACTGGTTCCTTTCCCTTTAATTGCACTATACTCGTAAATTTGTTTGATGATTTGGTGTTGTATCT